CCAAGGTCCATAGGATACAATGTTGCCGAATTGCCGCCGAATTTCGGCGCAAACCGGGAATAAACTGCAGCAAGCTGATCTGGGGGCAACCTGTTTGGGGGCCCATAAAATTGTACCCCCTGGTCCAATCGTCTTGAAACTTGGTGGGTATGTTGGGGAGAGGTTCCAGTAAGCACGCTCCATGTTTGGAGCCTCTATCCCAAACCCCCTCCCCCCCAGCCCCCCACAAAGTTTCAAGAAGATTTTTGCCATTGACTTCAATGGCCCCATTGGTTATAATGGACCCGAATTTTTTCGGGATTTTTTTTCGGGATTCGGACAAGCGCATAAATTACTAATTCGGGATCCCAAAAGCCGGAAAAAGCCGAAAAACGTTATTTTCGGCTTTTTTTTCGGCTCGGGATCCCGAGATGCACATCCCTAGCTTGAGGCTGTGAGAGGTCCTGCACAGCTAAGCCCAGACGACTTGATTGCAGTTCAGCCGTCATCGCATGCAAACCTGATTTGGGGCAAACATTGGAGCCTGAGCCCGAATCTGGCTGCACAATCTCACACGGCGTCTTTCTTTTGCAGAGGCTGAAGCCAACCAATCCCGCGGCTCAGAAGGCGCTGACCACGCCCACTCACTACAAGCTGACCCCCCGTCCTGCCACGCGAGTGCGGCCGAAAGCTTTGCAGACAACGGGGTCCTCAAAATCCCAGCTCTTTGATGGCCTGGATGATGATGAGCCAGCCCTGTCCAATGGGTCTTTCATGCCCAAGTGAGTCTGGGGGGGGGGAGAAGGGTGGAGCGGAAGAGGGAGAAGGTGCAAAGTTAAAGTTTCCTCCATGGTTGGTTCTTTGTGGTTGTATTTTTTTCCTGGTCTTCGTCTGGAGCAGCTCTTCTCTTGGCAGATGCAGCTGGATGCTTACGTGAATTCATGGGGGCCCTTGGTCTCTGTGGAAGCCATTTTCATGTATTTGCACCGTGCAGAGAGGTTGAGCAGTCAGCGTTGGCCTTTTCAGACCTGTGGGATTAACTGACCTTGAAGTCCCTCCTGCAGCTTGAGATCCTAACCGCCATTTTTCATTCTGGATATTCTGGTGTGTCGATTAGGGATGTGCATTCGATTAAAGCTGAACAGGGATTCCCCGAACAGGCCAAACAGGGATTCCCCGAATGGATGTGGTATATTTGGCATCCATTCGGGGAATCCCTTTGCTGGGCGAGGGGAAGGCACGGGGAGGCATTTAAATGCCTCCACAATCCTTCCCAGTTCCTCCCCGGCCCGCCTGCCATTGGGAGCCGAGGAGGGATGGGGGGCGCTCTCCAGGCCTTCCCTGACTTGCCCGCTTTGGCGGGCTGGCCAGGGAAGGCACGGGGAGGCATTTAAATTGCTTTCCTTTCAATGAAAGGAGTGTGCCACCTGTGCGGCGTGACTTGAGGGATTTAAACTTTAAACCTCGAGTCGCACTGCAGAGGTGTCACGCTCCCTTCAGTGGTAGGAAACCCCCTCCCCCGTTAAGGGGGTGGAATTATTATACCCTACGGGGAATAATTGAGCCAAATTATTTGGCTAGTCCGATAACTCCCGAAACCCAGTATCGTACCGATACTGGGTTTCGGGAATATCGGCAAATACCGAAATTTTTCGGGCTCGGTAGATCCAAACCCAAAAAATGCCGATTTTTTGGGGGGGGTGCACACACCTCAAGCGTGGATCCCCAACGTGTGTTGCCTATGGGCTCTGCAGCCCCTGCCCCACACCTTTTCTGGGCCCCATCAAGTGTTTTCAGGAAGTGGGCGGGGCCAAGGTGGGGCATTTGTCCAGCAAGGCTTCTGATGGATTCCTGGAGGTTTGACTGGCTGTGCAGGTTTTTAACAATGTTGCTTTGGTCGCAGCTGCCCCTACAGCTTAAGGATCTGCACTGTGCAGTTGAAGGGAAACTGTGCCAGTCATTTTGTGGCTGGCTCCGCCTCATGCAGCGGCTGTTTTGTGGCCGCCATGTTGTTGATGTGCCAGCCACACTGTGTCAGGATTCCAGAATGCTTCCGGAGGCTCGAAAAGGTTATAGATGGTATTAGTTTGTCGTAGAAAAAGCACATCCTCCGTAGCTTTGTGGATTAACAAACAAAACTTACGTGACAATAAATTAAGTCCTTAAAGTGACCCAGGAGTCTTGGTGGTCCGCCAGACCAGGGTGTCACCAGGGCTGGCCAGACGGAGTCATTGCCACGCCCTCTCAAGAGACATCCACGGGCTTTGGGGGGTGTCTTTCAGGAAGAGCATCAAGAAGCTGGTTCTGAAGAACCTCAACAGCAGCAGCCTGTTCTCCCCCGTCGGCGGTGAAGCGGAGGACCTCGCCTCTCCCTCTGAGTATCCAGAAAATGGGGAACGGTATGTCGATGTCCCAAGGCGGCCCGATTTCTTTCTGTCCTTTCCCTTTTGCGCTTCTTCTGAAATAAATTGTTTTTAGAGGCAGTCATGACTGCAGTAGTTCAGTTTGGGGCATTTCACAAACATTCGAGCGTGTCCAGAGGAGGGCAGCCAGGATGGTGAGAGGGTTGGAATCCAAGTCTTAGAAGGAAAGGCTGAAAGAGTTGGGTCTGTTTAGCCTGGGAAAGAGAAGGCTTAGAGGGGACAGGATTGCAGTCTTCAAGTATCTGAAGGGCTGTCATGCGGAAGATGGAGCGGATCTATTCTCTCTTGCTCCAGATTGCAAGACTAGGTCTAATGGGTGGAAATTTAAAGGGAGTCGTTACCGGCTAAATATCAGGAGAAACGTCCTGACTGTAAGAGTGGTTGAGCAGTGGAACAGTCCGCCTTGGGAGGTGGTGGATGCTCCTTCGCTGGACGTTTTCAAGCGGAGGCTGGACGACCATCTCTCGGGTATGTTGTAGGGCTATCTTTCGGCTGTGCTCCTGCAGAGTGCATGGGGTTGGACTAGATGACCTGCAAGGTCCCTTCCAACTCTAACATTCTATGATTCTATAATTCTATGAGCGTGTCCAGAAGAGGGCAACCAGGACGGTGAGAGGGTTGGAATCCAAGTCTTATGAGGAAAGGCTGAAAGAGTTGGGTCTGTTTAGCCTGGGAAAGAGAAGGCTTAGAGGGGACAGGATTGCAGTCTTCAAGTATCTGAAGGGCTGTCATGTAGAAGACGGAGCGGATCTCTTCTCTCTTGCTCCGGATTGCAAGACTAGATCTAATAGAGTCAATACCGGCTAAATATCAGGAGAAACTTCCTGACCAGTGTTCCCTCTAAGCTGAGTTAGTGTGAGCTACCTCACAGTTGTTTAGCCTCTGGCTCACACCATTTTGTCTTAGTTCAGGAAGGATGGCTCCAGAGCAAACTAATGTATGCAGGAGGTAAATCGCTCGCTCACAATGCCAGTAGCTCACAAAGTAGAATTTTTGCTCACGAGACTCCACAGCTTAGAGGAAGCATTGCTCCTGACTGTGTAAGAGTGGTTGAGCAGTGGAACAGACTGCCTCGGGAGGTGGTGGGTGCTCCTTCGCTGGACGTTTCCAAGCGGAGGCTGGACGACCATCTTTCGGGTATGTTGTAGGGCTATCTTTCGTCTGTGCTCTTGCAGAGTGCAGGGGGTTGGACTAGATGACCTGCAAGGTCCCTTCCAACATTCTATGATTCTATAATTCTATGAGTGTGTCCAGAAAAGGGCAACCAGGACGGTGAGAGGGTTGGAATCCAAGTCTTATGAGGAAAGGCTGAAAGAGTTGGGTGGGTCTGTTTAGCCTGGGAAGGAGAAGGCTTAGAGGGGACATGATTGCAGTCTTCAAGTATCTGAAGGGCTGTCATGTAGAAGACGGAGCAGATCTCTTCTCTCTTGCTCCGGATTGCAAGACTAGATCTAATGGGTGGAAATGACAAGGGAGTCGCTACCGGCTAAATTATCAGGAGAAACTTCCCAACGGTAAGAGTGGTTGAGCAGTGGAACACAGACTGCCTCGGGAGGTGGTGGAGGCTCCTTCGCTGGACGTTTCCAAGCGGAGGCTGGACGACCATCTTTCGGGTGTGTTGTAGGGCTCTCTTTTGGCTGTGCTCCTGCAGAGTGCAGGGGGTTGGACTCGATGACCTACAAAGGTCCCTTCCAGCTCTAACATTCTATGATTGTATGATCCAATGGATGGAAATGACAAGGGAGTTGATACCAGCTAAATATCAGGAGAGACTTCCTGACTGTAAGGGTGGTTGAGCCGTAGAAAACAGACTGCCTCGGGATGTGGTGGAGGCTCCTCCGCTGGACGCTTTCAAGGGGAGGAGGCTGGAAGCCCATCTCCCGGGTGTGTTGTAGGGCTCTCTTTCGGCTGTGCTCCTGCAGATGACCTGCAAGGCCCCTTCCAACTCTAACGTTCTGTGATTCTAGTTGAGAAGTTAGCGCTGTGGGGGAAGGCACAGGAGAGCAGTCAAGTTGGCCTGGCCTTCCGCCGATGAGATTCCACCTGGCCTCCTCCTCTCCAATCCGTGCCAAGAGTGATGCGTCAAGCGCATGGCCCGTTGTGCAGCCAGCTAGTATGTGCTCTCTAGCAGTGTGCTACTCCTTCCTAATGGCATAGCAGGACTCCAGGGAATACAGACACTCAGCTCTTGAATGCACAATCCCCTGTTGCGCCTGGGTCGAAGACCTCGCAGCAGCGGTCCCGCATCATCATCTGGGCCTGCCGGTTTGCTGAGAAGAAACAGTTCGGGTAATCGTAGCCCTGTTAATCGTAGCCCTGTTAGTCTGCAGTAAGGTAAAGGTCTCCCTTGCTCGAAAGCCAGTCGAGTCCGACTCTAGAGATGCGGTGCTCATCTCCGTTTCAAAGCCAAAGAGCCAGCGCTGTCTGAAGACGTTTCCGTGGTCATGTGGCCGGCATGACTAAACGCCGAGGCGCACGGAACGCTGTTCCCTTCCCACCGAAGTGGTCCCTATTTATCTACTTGCAATTTCTTGCTTTCAAACTGCTAGGTGGGCAGGAGCTGGAACTAGAGACGGGAGCTCACTCCGTCATGCGGCACACTCGGGTCTCGAACTGCTGAACTACCGACCTTCCACAAGCCTGCAGTTCAGCGTCTTCACCACTTGAGCCACCGCAGCTCCACTGTCTGCAGTAGAACCAGTTAAATGTCAAGTCCAGCAGCAGCTTAGAGACCGTCAAGATTTTTGGGGTGCCGGCTTTTGGGAGCCAGAGCTCCCTTCATCAGATATCCGGTTTCTGATTAATAGAGATATCAAGCATAAGAAGAAGAAGAAGAGATTGGATTTATACCCCGCCCTTCACTCGGAGTCTCGGATCAGCTTACAAACTCCTTTCCGTTCCCTCTCCCCACAACAGACACCCCGTGAGGCAGGTGGGGCTGAGAGAGCTCTGACAGAAACTGCTCTTTTTCAAGGACAGCTCTTGTCAGACCTGTGACTGAGTCAAGGTCACACCAGCAGCTGCATGTGGAGGAGTGGGGAATCAAACCCTACACCAAACAGGAAGGGTTGACTCTCAAGAGCTCAAGAGCCAGTTTGGTGTCATGGTTAGGAGCACGGACTCCAATCTGGGAGAACCGGGTTTGATTCCCCACTCCTCCTCCACATGCAGCTGCCGGTGTGGCCTTGGGTCAGTCACAAGTTCTCTCAGAGCTGTTCTCTCAGGAGCAGTCCTGGAAAGAGCTCTTTCAGCCCCACCTACCTCGCAGGGTGTCTGTTGTGGGGAGGGGAAGGGAAAGGAGATTGTAAGCCGTGTGAAGGGCGGGGGTGGTTAAGTGCGCGGACTCTAATCTGGGAGAACCGGGTTTGATTCCCCACTCCTCCGCTTGCACCTGGCTGGATGACCTTGGGCAAGCCATAACTCTGGCACAGCTGTTCTTGAAAAAGAGCCGTTTCTGTCAGAGCTCTCTCAGCCCCACCTACCTCACAGAGTGTCTGTTGTGGGGAGCGGAAGGGAAAGGAGTTTGTAAGCCGCTCTGAGACACCTTTGGGCAGTGAAGGGTGGGGTATAAATCCAATCTCTTCTTCGTCTTCTTGTCCTGATGTGCAACTTTTATTTATTTATTCGTCTGTTTATCATTTATTCAATTTATACCCCACCCTACCCCAAGAATGGGCTCAGGGCGGCTCACAACGTAAAACCAACAAACAACAAAAAGGATAAGTAGCAACCGCAGATAAAACCAAGCCCATGCCTCACGGAATATTTACCCAGAGAAATTCCAGTGCCCACGTGATATCCAAAACAGCAAAGGCCACTGGGAAAGGTTCCTGGACATGCGGGGCCAGAATGGATTGAACGCCTGCCGCCTTAACCAAAGGCCTGGCGGAACAGCTCCCATTTTACAGGCATGTTCCGCCAGGCCAGGGCAAGGGCCGAAAAAGCCCTCGCCCCGGTTGAGGCTAAGCGGACGTCCCTTGGACCGGATCGCCACCAGGAGATGTTGATCAGAATAGCATAAAGCTCTCGGGGGCTCGTATGGGGAGAGGCAGCCCCGCAGGTTTGAGGGTCCCAGGCCGCTTAGGGCATTATAGGCAGGGCTATTTTGGGGCAGGAACGCACAGGAACGGAGTTCCGGCTGGCTCCTGAATTGGCCATGCCCAGCAGGAACTCATTAGCATAATAAGACACACCCAACAGCAGAACCTCATTCAGATTGGTTACATTAGGGGCCTAGCATGCAAAGGAGTTCCTGCTACAAAAAAAGCCCTGACAAACAAGGTAAACAGAATAAGAAGCAAAAGGTGGGTGTGGCTGGATGAGCACACTTCTGGTAGCATGGGGGTGTGGCCTGATATGATAATGAGCTGTGTTGTCAGGGGTGTGGCATAATATGCTAATGAGTTTCTGCTGTTGGGTGTGGCCTATTATGTTAATGAGTTCCTGCTGGGCTTTTTCTACAAAAAAGCCCTGGTTATAGGTCAAAACCATAACCTTGAACCGGATCTGGTATTCAATCGGCAGCCCGTAGTGCAGTTTTCCTTGCAAACCCTGGCACCGGAGCACCCCACTTAAAATAATAACCACAGTTTGTCAAGTTTTCCTCTTTTGTGGGGGCTGTACTTCTTCTGAGGACCAAGGAATGATCAAAGCAGCTTACAGCAAAGAAATAACATTGCTGTCCTATCAGCGGTCCCTTGCGTGGGAGGAAGACTCCTCGTGATGCAGGGAAATGCCAACATCAGCAGGACAGGGTCCGCAGGACACAGCCCTATAAGGAAGAGAGGACACGCGGGTGACCTACGAAAATAGAGGAGGACAAAGGCTCCCTGCCGCTCCAGAGGGGGGGCACGCCTGGGTCTGACGGCCTCAAGTGTTACAGGAGGGTTGAGGCTTTGCAGGAATTCCTGGCGGTGAGAGTGGTTTGGGAATGGTAGTGATGATCTTTGGGATCTAGTGCGGGCTCTCCCACGCCAGAGGTCTCCAGGCTGAGATCGGACAGCTGTCCATCTAGCTTTGGATTTTCTGCACCGGGCAAGAGGTTTGGCTTCTTTAAGCTTCCGTATCGTCTTGTCCCCACCCAGAATACGTTAAAGTTATTTATTGATTTGATTTATACCCTGACGTCCCCGCCGGAGCAGGCTCAGGGCGGCTTTACAATCTAATTGGTAAGTTGCTACAGGATGGGTCGCAGTGGCCGTATCTCAGTCCTTCTGCTGTGAACCCGGTGAGTGGATCGAGTGTGCCGGAGAGAAGCACACTCTAATCACAGCCCCCGCCTGAGTTTCCGGGACCAAAACCGCAACTGCATGCGTCCCCGAGCTGTGAATCCTCTTCCTTTAGGAGAGTGCAGCTCTCAAGATTTCTCCAGCTAGTGGGGCCATGGGATCCAAAAAGCACGTGCTTCTGTAAACAGAACTGTAGCTCCGGAAGTGTGGTTCCTACCATCGCTTCACGCGGGTCCTTTCCACACTTGGACCTCATCCCTGGTTTTATCAGAGTTCAACTCGTGACCAGTGTTCCCTCTAAGCTGAGTCAGTGTGAGCTAGCTCATGGTTTTTTAGCCTCTGGCTCACACATTTCTGTCTTAGCTCAGGAAGGAGGGCTCCAGAGCAGTGTTCTCTCTAAGCTGAGTCAGTGTGAGCTCGCTCATGGTCTTTAGCCTCCAGCTCACACATTTCTGTCTTAGCTCAGGAAGGATGGCTCCGACACAATGCCTTGCATTTATCCCTGGTTGTAACAGCATCCGTTTATCCTGGGACAAGTGTGGGGCGAAACCGGGGTGACCGCAATGTAATATGGAAACCAAAAATACCCCGAAATAATTACAGGGGTGAACTCGAGTGCAGTGTAGAATGTACGTTTGGGGACAGGGTTGAACCAGGATTTAAGGTCTAGTGCAGAACCACCCGCAGTGGACCAGCATTGTGTCAGTTGTGAGCATACGGCAGTGCGAGACCTGGGTTGGCCTGCCTGTGGATCTTTCGCAGCAGAACGAAGGGTAGAAACAACATCCAAACTTCCTGGTATGGTTGATTTCAAGTAGTTAGATTTGGCCTCTCCTACGAGCAGGAGCCTTGGGTGCTAACAAAATGTACACGAGAGAGCATACAAGCACGTAACCTGAAGGAAAGAGACACTTCAGCATGCCAGCAAAATAGCACCACCCGCTTGAGCAGCCTAGCCAAGGCCATGCTACCCAAACGGTGCTGCCCTGCAGCATCTTAAAGCAAGCAGGGATGGTGTTCTAACCACCTCTGGTAGCCCATTCCAAAGAACTGGGCTGGGGACCGAGCTTGTTAGTGGACCACTGACTACATGTTGTTGTTCAGTCGCACAGTCGAGTCCGACTCTTCGCGACCCCATGGACCAGATCACGCCAGGCCTTCCGGTCTTCCGCCATCCTCTGAAGTTGGCTCAACTTCATGCTTGTTGCCTCTATGACATTGTCTAACCATCTCATCCTTTGCTGTCCCCGTCTTCTTTGACCTTCAGTCTTTCCCAGCATCAGGGTCTTCTTCTCCAGGGAGTGCTCCCTTCTCATTGGGTGGCCAAAGTATTTGAGCTTCAGTTTCATTATCTGGCCTTCCAGAGTTGATTTCTTTTAGGATTGACTGATTTGATCTCCTTGCAGTCCAAGGGACTCTCAAGAGTCTTCTCCAGCACCCTAGTTCAAAAGAATCTATTCTTCGGCGCTCGGCCTTCCTTATGGTCCAACTCTCGCAGCCATACATGACTACTGGGAATACCATTGCTTTGACCCTGCGGACTTTGACCTTCTTTGACCTTCAGTCTTTCCCTGCATATTAAAGGCATTTAAAATCAAAGGCGTACAAGAGCTGCCTTACACCGTATCAGTCCCTTGGTCCATCTAGCTCAGCATTCTCTTCTTTGCTTGGAGGTGGCTGTCCAGGGTCTCGGGCAGAGAATGATTTCCCCCCCAGCCTCTGCTATCAGAGGTCCTGGAACTGGAAATGGGGGGGGGGGAGGCTTGTACCTGGGACCAGTGTTCCCTCTAAGCTGAGTTAACGTGAGCTAGCTCACAGTTTTGAGCCTCCAGCTCACACATTTTTGCCTTCGCTCAGGAAGGATGGGGCTCCGTAGCGAGCTAATTTATGCAGTAGCCAAAGTGCTCTCTCACCACTTTCAATGCCAGTAGCTCACAAAGTAGAATTTTTGCTCACAAGACTCCACAGCTTAGAGGGAGCATTGCCTGGGACCAGTGTTCCCTCTAAGCTGAGTTAGCATGAGCTAGCTCACAGGTTTTTTAAGCTCCCAGCTCACGCATTTTTGCCTTCGCTCAGGAAGGATGGGGCTCTGTAGCAAGCTAATTTATGCAGTAGCCGAATCGCTGGCTCACCACTTTCAATGCCAGAGTAGCTCACAAAGTAGAATTTTTCCTCACAAGACTCCACAGCTTAGAGGGAGCATTGCCTGGGACCAGTGTTCCCTCTAAGCTGAGTTAGCATGAGCTAGCTCACAGGTTTTTTAAGCTCCCAGCTCACGCATTTTTGCCTTCGCTCAGAAAGGATGGGGCTCCAGAGCAAACTAATTTATGCAGTAGCCAAATCGCTCGCTCACCACTTCAATGCCAGTAGCTCGCAAAGTAGAATTTATGCTCACGAGACTCCACAGCTTCGAGGGAGCCTTGCCTGGGACCCTCTGTCTACATAGCAGTTGGCCTACCGTGGAGCCTCAGCCCACCTGAACATTCAGTTTGTGCCATGGCTTTGTTTTTCCTGTTGAGCACAGTTCGCAAGCATGCTGGACAAGTGTCCCTGAGTGGGTCAGAAGAGTTCATTGAAAGCTAGGGAGCTAGAAGCTTGTCATAGGGGCTCTTTCCATTTCTGCTTCACCTGTGTGTAGTATTTGGCTTATGATCCCTGGCGACTGGATGTTTCTCGGCGTTGGCTGGCGGCTTCTTGGCCTCACTGTGCTCACTGCCCGATTGCCGTTTGGCGCAGTGGTTAGGAGCAGTGTTCCCTCTAAGCTGAGTGAGCGCGAGCCAGCTCACAGTTTTTTTAGCCTCCGGCTCACACGTTTTTTGCAGAGCAAGCTAATTCATGCAGCAGCCCAATCGCTCGCTCACCACTTTAATGCCAGTAGCTCACAAAGTAGAATTTCTGCTGCAAGACTCCGCGCTTAGAGGGAGCCTTGCCTGGGACCAGTGTTCCCTCTAAGCTGAGTTAGTGTGAGCCAGCTCACAGTTTTTTTAGCCTCCGGCTCACACATTTTTTGCCTCAGCTTGGGAACGAGGGGGCTCTGGAGCAGACTGATTCATGCAGCAGCCCAGTCGCGTGCTGACAACTTTAATGCCCAGTAGCTCACAAAGTAGGATTTTTGCTCTCAAGACTCCACAACTTAGAGGGTGGACTCTAATCTGGGAGAACCGGGTTTGATTTCCCGCTCCTCCACATGCAGCTGATGGTGTGACCTTGGGTCAGTCACAAGTTCTCAGAGCTGTTCTCTCAAGGGCAGTCCTCGAAAGAGCTCTCTCAGCCCCCACCGACCTCAGAGGGTGTCTGTTGCGGGGAGGGGAAGAGAAAAGGAGTTTGTGAGCCGCTCTGAGACACCTTCGGGTAGTGAAGGGCAGGGTATAAATCCAATCTCTTCTTCTTCTTCAAAGGCTTTAAAATTCTTTATGTTTGGGAGCAGCCTAGAGCTTTGTGCTTGACTCTAGTGGGCTGCACCCCCTCTCTGCCTCTTGAGAGTCGCTGGTTATGCGGGTGACTCGCCTCTGAACGAGTAGGGCCTCGGAGAAACGGAGTGACCTTTTTTTCTCCTCTTAGATTCAACTTCCTCTCCAGGTCAGTCGACGAGAACCACCGGCCAGACGGAGAGCAGGAGGAGGAGGACGATCGCCACGAGGTGACGAGCTTCTACACCAACCCCATTGCGAAGCCGGTCCCGCATACCCCGGAGAGCCTCATCCACAAGCACCAGAACCACGTGGACGACACCATCATGGCCCTGAACATGCGAGCGGCCCTGCGGAACGGGCTGGAAGGCAGCAGCGAAGACGCCTCCTTCCACGAGGACTCCCTGCAGGATGACCGGGAAGAGGAGAATGAGAATGCGCACCAGGCGCACCCAGCAGGTAGGGCTTTTGTCTGGCGGGCAAAACCGGGTTTGATTCCCCCACTCCTTCACTTGCACCTTTCTGGATGACCTTGGGGAAGCCGCTGTTCTTGAAAAAAGAGCCGTTTCTTTCAAGAGCTCTCTCAGCCCCACCAACCTCACAGGGTGTCTGTTGTGGGGAGGGGGAAGGAAAGGAGTTTGTAAGCCGCTCTGAGACACCTTTGGGTAGTGAAGGGCGGGGGGGGGGATAAATCCAATCTTCTTGGTGTGTAGTGGTTAAGTGTGCAGACTCTAATCTGGGAGAACCGGGTTTGATTCCCCCCCCCCTGCAGCTGCTGGGTGACCTTGGGCAAGCCGTAGTTCTGATAAGAGCTGTTCTTGAAAAAAGAGCAGTTTCTGTCAAGAGCTCTCTCAGCCCCACCAACCTCACAGGGTGTCTGTTGTGGGGAAGGGAAGGGGAAGGAGTTTGTGAGCCCCTTTGAGACACCTTTGGGTAGTGAAGGGCGGGGAGGGGGTATAAATCCAATCTCTTGGTGTAGTGGTTAAGTGTGCAGACTCTAATCTGGGAGAACTGGGTTTGATTCCCCCACTCCTCCACTTGCACCTGGCCGGATGACCTTGGGCAAGCCGTAGTTCTGATAAGAGCTGTCCTTGAAAAAAGAGCAGTTTCTGTCAGAGCTCTCTCAGCCCCACCCACCTCACAGGGTGTCTGTTGTGGGGAGGGGAGGGGAAAGGAGTTTGTGAGCCACTCTGAGACTCCTCTGGGTAGTGAAGGGCAGGGTAGAAATCCAATCTCTTCTTCTTTGTTCTTATACCACACGGTTCATGGATTTCCATTCTGTATGGCCAAATGTGGTGCCTTGCATGGAGATAGATCCAGATGGGTAGCCATGTTTGTCTATAGCAGTAGAAAAGAGCCAGAGTCCAGGAGCATCTTAAAGACTAACAAAAAATTGTGGCAGGGGAGGAGCTTCCATGAGTCACGGCTCACTTCTTCAGACACCTGAAGAAGTGAGCAGTGACTCATGAAAGCTCGCATACTTTGGCCAGTTCTCACCCCCAGGGTCAACTGTAATGTCTTGTTCCCTTGGTTAGTTTGAATGACTCCCCGTTGACTGCAGAGGAGGGCCGCGGGTCCTCGCGTGTGCCTTCTTGCTGCCTGCTGTGATCCGAATTGCTCCAGCTTCCCGCCAGAGCTGTTCCTCCAGTCTCCTCTCGGCCTGTCACGTACGCTCTGGCGCCCCGGCTCTTCGTTTGCCCATCAGGACCTTGGAAGCAGGAGCTTTTGCTCCGCTCTGCAGCCAGGGGGAAGAGTTTTCAACCAGGCTTCTTTTTCTCTTCCAGGGATCTGTTTAACCCGAGTGGGCTACTACACGATTCCATCGATGGAGGAGTTGGCCAGAATGACCAATGAGAAGGGGGAGTGTGTGGTGACAGACTTCACCATCGGCCGTAAAGGTGAGGGGGCTTGTGTGGATTTCTTGCTGCCGCCTGTTCAAGGTCCAGGCACATTTCCCTTCTGCCCGAATGGGAAGCCGAGGGCCCTGCCTGTAGGAGCTGAGCTGTGGCTAGAGAAGCATCATCGATGCGCCCTGGATACGACTCTGGAGAGGCAGCCTTGTACGTGCTCTAAGGGGTCATTTTGGGGGGGGGGGGCGGGGGGGGGGGGGCTCCCCGCGGGGGGGGGGAGGCCATCCCACTGGGTGAGGTGTGGGAGGGCGGGGCCTGGAGCTCCCTGCTGGTGCCCGCTGGAGGTCGCCGCTGGCTGTGGGGAGAACACACTTCCGGTGATGTCAGGGGGTGTGGCATATGCTAATGAGTTATGCTATAGCTCTTTTTCTACGAAATGACCCCTGGCTCTAAGTAAACACCCACCTTGCTCGAAAGACAGTCGAATCCGACTCTAGGGTTGCGGTGCTCATCTCCATTTCCAAGCCAAAGAGCCAGCGTCTCCATGGTCATGTGGCCGGCATGACTAAACACCAAGGCACACGGTACGCTATTACCTTCCCACCAAAGTGGTACCTATTTATCTACTTGCAGTTTCTTGCTTTCGAACTGCTAGGTTGGCAGGAGCTGGAACTAGAGACGGGAGCTCACTCCGTCACGCGGCACACTCAGGTCTCGAACTGCTGAACTACCGACCTTCCACAGCCTGCAGTTCAGCATCTCAACCACTTGAGCCACGTTTAGTCATGCCGGCCACATGACCACGGAAACGTCTTCGGACAGCGCTGGCTCTTTGGCTTTGAAACGGAGATGAGCACCGCAACCCTACGGTCGGATTCTACTGGCTTTCGAGCAAGGGAACCTTTACCTTTAGTATATCTTATACACATACAAAAACCTAAAGTACATTGTATTTACTAATAGAAAAGTCCACAGCTACAGAGACCTCTTCCAACGCTGTAGACTATCTTGCACCTGATAAAGGACTGATGAAAGTTGCAACCGTCATAAATGATGAGCGATGCAGCAGGCCGTTATATCCTCCACAAAGAGTAATCCAGCAGGCATCAAAGCTGGCATGAGAAATGAAGCAGGCAGTTGTATTTTCCACACAAAGTGTTTCAGAAAGCGTCAAAGCAAGCCACACGCCTCCTAGGCAAAAATTGCGTGTTTCGACAAATTCTTCAGGCAGACATATTTTTTCCTGGAACTGAATAACAATATACAATATGACGCAATATAACACAATATAAAGGTAAAGGTCTCCCTTGCTCGAAAGCCAGTCAAGTCCGACTCTAGGGTTGCGGTGCTCATCTCCGTTTCAAAGCCGAAGAGCCAGCGCTGTCCGAAGACGTTTCCGTGGTCATGTGGCCGGCATGACTGAACACCAAGGCGCATGGAATGCTGTGCCCTTCCCACCGAAGTGGTACCTATTTATCTACTTGCAATTTCTTTGCTTTTGAACTGCTAGGTTGGCAGGAATAACACAATATACTTTAGCATAATAACCAGGAAAAAAAGAAGCTAGCTTGCTGTACTCACCCAGAGCTCTCAGTTTCACTGTGCATAAGTCAACCATTCTAAAGAAGGCTTCTCTGGTTCTCCATGAGAACACCCCAGAAAGACCAGTCTAATAAAGCACAGCTGTACCAATAGTCCCAAAAGAATTAAAAAAAACAACAGTACTTGCAACATCTTGCAACATTAACAACTACAACTATGGCCAGGCTAATAGCTTGGATTCTAGACCTGACTGAAAACGACGCCTCTCTCCAAGCACGAACGTCTGTGTTTCTGTCAGCCCCAGGGGGCGTGCGTGGTGGTGGACAGGGAGTGTGTCCTCCGACCAGTGAGCTTTCACTATATTTGACTTTCTTAGCAGCCCGGCCTGACGGTGTCAGTTGTCTCCCCTAGGCTACGGCTCCATCTACTTCGAAGGAGACGTCGATCTGACGAATCTGGACCTCGACGAGATTGTGCATATCCGCAGGAAAGAAGTGATCGTCTACCCAGACGATGAGCTGAAGCCGCCCATCGGAGAAGGCCTAAACAGGTAAGGCCGACGTTTTAAATTCAGCTGGGCGTTCACCTGGCTTTCTCGGGAATGTGGGCTCGCGTCTCAGGCCTCAAACCCGTTCTCTGTTCCCACAGGCGAGCCGAGGTCACTCTGGACGGCGTCTGGCCGACCGACAAAACCTCTCGAGTCCTGATCAAGAGCCCCGAGCGCCTGGCGGAGATGAGCTACGAGAGCAGGCTGGAGGCGGTCTCCCGAAAGCAGGGCGCCCAGTTCAAGGAGTACCGCCCGGAGACGGGCTCGTGGGTATTCAAGGTAACACCAGCCGGCGTGGGTACTGCAGCCCTGGAGGCGCCCCCTTTCTCTGTTGCTGCCTGTGGTCGTTGTGTAGCTCATGCAGTATAATGGCTTTGATGAACCTAAGAGAAGCCATGCTGGATTGGTCAGTGGCCCATTCTGTCCAACCCTCTGTGTCCTGCAGTGGCCCAAACCCAGGTACCACCAGGAGGTCCACCAGCGGGGCCGGAACCCCAAAAGCCCCTCCCACTGTTGCCCCCCCCCCCCCCGCCAAGCACCAAGAAGACAGACCATCCCTGCCCCGGACATAAGAACATAAGAGAAGCCCATGTTGGGTCAGGCCAATGGCCCATCCAGTCCAACACTCTGTGTCCCACAGTGGCCAAAAATACCAGGTGCCATCAGGAGGTCCAGCAGTGGGGACAGGACACTAGAAGCCAGCCAGGAGAAGTGGGGCCAGGACACTGTTGCCCCCCCCCCCAAGCACCAGGAATACAGAGCATCACTGCCCCAGACAGAGTGGCTAATAGCTACTGATGGACCTCTACTCCATAGAAGAACATAAGAGAAGCCCATGTTGGATCAGGCCAAAGGCCCATCCAGTCCAACCCTCTGTGACCCGTAGTGGCCAAAAATACCAGGGGCCATCAGGAGGTCCCCCAGCAGGTCCAGAACCCCAGACGCCCTCCCACTGTTGTCCCCCAAGCACCAAGAATACAGAGCATCTCTGCCATGGACATAAGAACATAAGAGAAGCCATGCTGGATCAGGCTAGTGGCCCATCCAGTCCAACACGCTGCGTCACACGGTGGCCAACACCCAGATACCACCAGTGGGGCCAGAAGTCCGGAAGCCCTCCCACTGTGGACCGCCCCCCCCCCCAAGCACCAAGAATACAAATAATCACTACCCCAGACAGAGTGCTCCATCTATCTTGCAGCTAACAGCCAGCGATGGACTGTCTGGATGTTCTGGGCATGGGCCAGGGGTCACTGGGGAGGGGTTGTGTTGGGGGGGGGGGGGGAGGTATTTGTGAATTTCCTGCCTTGTGCAGGAGGTTGGACTAGATGCCCCTGGAGGTCCCTTCCGACTCTATGGTTCTGCGACCTCTGCTCCATATGTTGATCCAGTCCCCTCTTGAAGCTTGTCTGTGCTTGTAGCCACCGCCACTTCCATAAGACGGTCTCTAGGAGGGCTGCTCAAGATAATGGCCTGGAGTAGATTGTTAGGAGGACTGTCCACATACCGAGAACCCTGGTTTGAGCTGCTGGCCTCCGCAATCCTCCACTTCCCCATCTGTTTGCTGTAGCAGCACCTAAGTGAGCCAGTGTGGTGTCGTGGTTAAGTGCGCAGACTCTAATCTGGGAGAACCGGGTTTGATTCCCCCACTCCTCCACTTGCACCTGGCTGGGTGACCTTGGGCAAGCTGTAGCTCTGATAAGAGCTGTCCTTGAAAAAGAGCAGTTTCTGTCAAGAGCTCTCTCAGCCCCACCCACCTCTGTGGGTGTCTGTTGTGGGGAGGGGAAGGGGAAGGAGATTGTCAGCCGCTCCGAGACTCCCTTGGGTAGTGAGGGGTGGGGTAGAAATTGAATCTCCTCCTCCTCCTTCTCCTAGTGGTGAGAGCCAGTGTGGTGTCGTGGTTAAGTGCGCAGACTCTAATCTGGGAGAACCGGGTTTGATTCCCCCACTCCTCCACTTGCACCTGGCTGGGTGACTTTGGGCAAGCCATAGTTCTGATAAGAGCTGTTCTTGGAAAAGAGCAGTTTCTGTCAAGAGCTCTCTCAGCCCCACCCACCTCTGTGGGTGTCTGTTGTGGGGAGGGGAAGGGAGAGGAGATTGTAAGCCGCTCTGAGACACCTTTGGGGAGTGAAGGGCGGGGGGTATAAATCCAGTCTCTTCTTCTTCTAACCCTGGCTTATGTCTCCGTCCAGGTGGCCCACTTCTCCAAATACGGCTTGCAAGATTCCGATGAGGAGGAAGACGAGCACCCGTCCAAAGCGGAGGCGAAGAAGCTCAAAACTGTCCAGCCGCCCCCAGTGGGCCAGTCCCAGCCAGCAGCCCTGAGCAGGAAGCCAGCGCCCTCCTCTCAGGTAGAGAAAAGGGTGGCGCGAAAGCAGGGGGCGCTCGGTTCAAGGAGGGGGCACCGCCTAGGGGTTCGTGGGTGTATCGTTACCTGTAAGAAACGAGCTGTTGACAGCGAGGACTGTCGCCATCCCTGAACCAGCTTCCCTGACTGGTTCTGTTTCCTGTCCCCCACCCCACCCCACTCTCCAATAAAGATAACTACTTTGGTGATTTGGGTTTTTCTTTAATAGGAGGGAATTAAAAAAGCACCCCCACCCACCCCGCCTCCGTTCATTCGATCCTGCTCTGAGTGTGGTACTGGAGCGGCAAAAGCTCTTTCCCGTGGGACCCTGAAATGCCTTCGCCGCCGGAGTAGAGCAGCTGGAGACAGCCCCATGGTCAAAGCAGCCACGCGACACTCCCCCCGCCGCTTTGCACAAGTGGCAACGGCATTTCAGTCCCGAGTCCCCCCGCTGCTTTCTTGTGCCCTGGCCAGCGTTTACTTTTATGTTGTTTATCTTGTTGGATTCGTATCCCGCCCTCCCCGCATAGCGCATGCAGGTCGGGTTCCATCAGACACCGTGACCAATGTACTAATCACGCTTAAGTCGGGCTCCAGACACAGCTTTGTTGCAAGACGGTCTTTAGAGAAGAGCTTCTGAAACTGGGCCGGCCAGTTTGGTGTCGTGGTTAAGTGCGGGGACTCTTGTCTGGGAGAATCGGGTTTGATTCCTCCACTCCTCCACTTGCACTTGGCTGGATGATTGCAAGCCCCTTTAAGACATCTTAAGGTAGAGAAAAGCGGGGTGTAAAAACCTACTCTTCTGTTTCTTGTCTGAGGACGGTGGTTGGACATGAGGGTCAGCCGTTGGTTAGAAGGCGGTTGGCTGTTTGTACTCGAAAGGTTCATGCCACGGAACCCCTGTTTTCTTAATTCGACAGTTTTATCGTTTTCCAGGACAGCTTGCCATAAAATAAAAAATATCGGCCACCATCCTCCGTACTGCCTCCCCCCCCAGTGGCCTCTCGTGGTCCCTAGTTGATGGCAGAGTATCCTTCCCGGGGCACTGTCAAAGCTGAATTTTTTTTCTGGCGTGGAGGCCGAGGGAAATGCGTGCCCTGGTTGTTTTGTGGCCAGTGGTTGGAGCCAATGTTCCCTCTAAGCTGTGGAGTCTTGTGAGCAAGAATTCTTTTTGGTGAGCTGCTGTCATTAAAGTTGTGAGCGAGCCATTTGGCTACTGCATAAATTAGTTTGCTCTGGAGCCCTCCTTCCTGAGCGAAGACAAAAATGTGTGAGCCGGAGGCTGAAAAACTGTGAGCTAGCTAGTTCACACTAACTCATCTTAGAGGGAACACTGCTTGGAGCCAGCTGGCCTTCCTGGCGCTCTCCCTGGCAGTGCGCTGTCACATCCTCTCCGCAGCAGAGGGAGCTGGTACAGTCCCCTAGTCACTTCCGCAGTCCCCGGGCAACGGGCACAGGAAGACTCTTTTCTGCTGTCTTGTTCGTAGCCCATTGGCCAGACTAGCATTTCTCTAAGCCAATGGGGGGAGCTGGGATTCAGAGATCCACACAAAGATTCCAAGGCAGTTGAACAGAAAGGTGAGAAGATCAGAGGGAGGAGATTCCCAGCAGGTAAAAGCGCACAACAGCAGGTGGCATCTGTAACAATATCGGTGGCAGAAAGTGTGATCACGTTGCAGGCGACTTGTGGCGGCCCCCATAGGGCTTTCGAGGCAAGACACTGTCAGAGGTAATCTGGTGTTCCCTGCCTCTGCGTATCAGCCCTGTCTGCGTTATCACCCTTGACATGGCCCGCCTCTGCGTAGCCACCCTGGACTTCCTGGGTGGTCTCCCATCCAAATACTAGCCAGGGCCGCTTAGCTCCCAAGATCTGATGAGATCGGGCTGCTCTGTGCCGTCCAGGTCAGGGCAAAAGATGTACAGGGGTGGTTTGCCATTTCCTGCCTCTGCATCATGCTAGCAACCCTGGACTTCCTTGGTGGTCTCCCATCCGCTCAGGAAGGATGGGGCTCCAGAGCAAACTAATTTATGCAGTAGCCAAACCACTTGCTCACAACTTTAATGCCAGGAGCTCACCAAGTAGAATGCTCACAAGACTCCACAGCTTAGGGAGAGCATTGCTGGTGGTGACCAGTGTTCCCTCTAAGCCGTGTTAGTGTGAGCTAGCTCACAGTTTTTTAGCCTTCGGCTCACGCATTTTTGTGCTAGCTCAGGGAGGAGGGCTCCAAAGCAAACTCCGGCTCACACATTTTTGTCTTCACTCGGGAAGGAGGGCTCCCGAGCAAACTAATTCATGCAGCAGCCAAATCGCTCGCTCACCACCTCAACGCCAGGAGCTCATGAAGTAGGATTTTTGCTCATGAGACTCCACAGCTTAGGGGGAGCGTTGCTGGTGGTGACCAGTGTTTCCTCTAAGCTGAGTTAGTGTGAGCTAGCTCGCAGTTTTTTAGCCTCCGGCTCACACACTTTCGTCTTAGCTCAGGAAGGGATGGCTCCAGAGCAAACTAATTTATGCAGCAGCCATAAATCGCTCGCTCACAAATATTCCCTCTAAGCCGTAGTGTCTTGTGAGCAAAAATTCCACTTTGTGAGCGACTGGCATCAAAGTTGTGAGCGAGCAACTTGGCTGCTGCATAAATTAGCTTGCTCTGGAGCCATCCTTCCTGAGCTAAGACAAAAATGTGTGAGCCGGAGGCTAAAAAACTGTGAGCTAGCTCACACTAACTCAGCTTAGAGGGAACACCGCTCACAACTTTAATGCCAGGAGCTCACCAATTGGAATTTTTGCTCACAGGATTCCACAGCTTAGGGGGAGCATTGGTCCCGAGTTCCACATTCGATGCCACAATTTGCAGCCCTTCAGTTTTCCACAGGCTGCTTTTTTCATCCGTACAGCGCCCCTGGAATTCAGGGTGTGCCATCAACCATTTACGCGGGGCAATGAATGACCTGTGCAGAATGGTTCCTTGGAATACAGTTTTCAGGCATGGTGGCACCAGCACACCACAGCACCCAGTCCCCAAACATTTGTTTGCCAGCCCAACCAACTCTCGGGGTCGGGACACAAGGAGGAATCCGAAGCTGGCGAGGGAGCCCAGGACTTCATTGGGACTTCCGCTCTGGTCTGAGTCTGCCTCTGTCTCTTGGTGTCTCCAGAGCCCGGACATCGAGCAGCTGGGGAAGGCGGTGGAGCTGGACAGCGACATGGCAGACGTCACTCAGGAAGCCGCTCCAGAGTTCGCCGCGGAAGAGAGCCTGGGAGAGGAGCCGGAGCTGGTGCCGGCGTCCGCACACATCGCGTCCTCCCTGGAAATCAATCCTCACACTTTGCAGGTGAGGCGCTTCCCGGCATCACCTCTGCACTCATTGGCCAGTGGCGTGGTGGGCGGAGGCCAGCCAGGGGAGACTTGGGCCCTTTTGCTCCGGTAGGTTGTTTTGCCTTGCGACCCTGACATCTGGTTTGTTTTGCCAGTTTGGTGCCGTGGTTAAGTGTGCGGACTCTAATCTGGGAGAACCGGGTTTGATTCCCAACTCCTCCACTTGCACCCGGCTGGATGACCTTGGGCAAGCCGTAGTTCTGATAAGAGCTGTTCTTGAAAAAGAGCAGTTTCTGTCAGAGCTCTCTCAGCCCCACCTCCCTCACAGGGTGTCTGTTGTGGGGAGGAGAAGGGAAAGGAGTTTGTCAGCCACTCTGAGACTCCTTTGGGTAGTGAAGGGCGGGGTATAAATCCAATCTCCTCCTCCTCCTCTTCATCTTCTCTAATCTGGGAGAACCGGGTTTGATTCCCCACTCCTCCACTTGCACCTGGCTGGATGACCTTGAGCAAGCCGTAGCTCTCATAAGAGCTGTTCTTGAAAAAGAGCCGTTTCTGTCAGAGCTCTCTCAGCCCCACCTGCCTCACAGGGTGTCTGTGGTGGGGAGGGGGAGGGAAAGGAGTTCATAAGCCCCGCTGAGACACCTTTGGGTAGTGAAGGGCGAGGTATAAATCCAATCTCTTCTCCTTCTTTTACCTCACAGGGTGTCTGTTGTGGGGAGGGGAAGGGAGAGGAGTTTGTAAGCCGCTCTGAGACTCCTTTGGGTAGTGAAGACAGAGTGGGGTATAAATCCAATCTCCTCCTCCTCCTTCCCCCCCCCCCCAACAAAAACCTTAAATTCCCTCCCTTTGGTTTGATTCCCCACTCCTCCACATGGCAGCTGCTGGTGTGACCGTCGGTCAGTCACAAGTTCTCTCAGAGCTGTTCTCTCAAGGGAAGTCCTCGGAAGAGGTCTTTCAGCCCCATCTGCCTCACAGAGTGTCAGTTGTGGGGAGGGGAGTTTGTAAGCCGCTCTGAGACTCCTTTGGGTAGTGAAGGGCGGGGGGTATAAATCCAATATCTTTTCCTTCTTCATTCCTTGAGGACTGAACCAGGAATCAGTTGGGCAAGGTCTGAGCCCAGTGGCCCCTTTAAGACCCACAAAGTTTTATTCAAGGTGTGAATTCTGGTGGCAGAGGAGAGATAATGTGGCACAGCCATTCACCCCACCTCAAAGGAAAGTATGCTGTTAGTTACCTGCGTCCTTGAGAGCAGGCGAATGGAGCATAACAACAGGGATCTCAGTTATTTAGTCTTAGTACTCCACAATTAAAGGGGCTGCAGTGGCTCAAGTGGTTAAGACTCTGAACTGCAGGCTGTGGAAGGTCGGTAGTTCAGCAGTTCGAGACCCGAGTGCCGCGTGACGGAGTGAGCTCCCGTCTCTGGTCCCAGCTCCTGCCAACCTAGCAGTTCGAAAGCTAGAAATTGCAAGTAGATAAACAGGTTCCGCTTTGGTGGGAAGATAACGGTGTTCTGTGCGCCTCGGCGTCTAGTCATGCCGGCCATGGAGGCGTCTCTGGACAGCACTGGCTCTTCGGCTTGGGAACGGAGATGAGCACTGCATCCCGCGAGTCGGATTCGACTGGCTTTTTTTTTTTTTAATAGTACTTTATTAATATTGAGATTTCAAACACAAGAAGACACACTGAAAACTGACATATAGACAACACGTAAACACATAAACTGGCACATAAACCTAGGATCCCAGGCCCGACTCTGTTAAGTACAATTGCGCCTTCCTATTTTAAACTATACATTTTCCTGTAGCCAACTATACAGTGTAGACCAAATATTCTCAAATACATCATCATCTCTCCCTCGGAGCTTCAAAGTAAGATTATCCAATTCAGCCATTTCTGTTATTTTAATTATAAAGTCCTCCCTAGATGGTATGATTTCCTGTTTCCAGTATCTTGCAAATAATATCCTGGCTGCCGTAAGAAGATGTATCAGTAAATGTTCATCCGTCTTTTTTAAATTATTAGGCATAATGTTTAACATGAATATCTCTGGCTCGTATGGTATTCTCAATAAAGTTATCTGAGCAATAACTTCATAAATTTCTTTCCAATATCTCTGTGTTATTTTACATGACCACCAAACATGGAAAAAAGTCCCTTTTTCTATTTTACACTTCCAGCATCTGTCTGATACATTGGGGTAACATCTAGCTAGCCTTTCTGGAGTGAAGTGCCACCGATGGAACATTTTGAAAAGGTTTTCTTTCATCCTCCTCATATCTTGCCATATTTTTCCCCATTTGACCCATTCAATGTTATGTCCGAAGTTTCTGGTCCACAAGATCATTCCTCCTTTTAATTCTTCCTCCTTCATTTTTTGGTCCAGGAGGATGTTATAGAATTTGCGAATAAGTTTCTCTCTTGGTCCCAACAATATTTTATCCATTTCAACATACTCCGTATATATACCTATCTGTTTATCCTTCTGATATCTGGATGTAATTTGGTTTCCCTCCCACCAAGATAACCTAATACCATTATACTCAAGCTGGTTCTGGGTTTTTAAATTTCCATTTAAATCTAAGCATTCTTTATAGGTAATATACCTTACAGCCGACATTAGGTTCGGTATTGAGATTGCCTCTAGTGGGGCCATCCATGCCGCGATTTTCCTATAGAATTGTTTTTTAATTTCCAACCAAATTTTTAATATAGCCTTCCTTAAAAAATGTTGATTAAAATGTATAGGTATAGATTGCTTAGTATTCCACATGTAGAAGTGCCACCCTGCTGCTAAATCATGGCCTTCAAGTTTTAGAATTCTCTTCTCCTTTAGTTGCACCCAATCACGTATCCACACCATTACCGCAGCCTGATAATATAGCCGCCAATCTGGTAGTGCTAGGCCTCCCCGTTCTATTTTTTCCTGCAGTAATTTCAATTTCACTCGGGGTTTCTTTGTTTGCCATATAAAATCCCTTGTCAGTTTATCTAGTTTGAGCAAGGGAAACCTTTACCTTTACTATACCTACAATTAAGAAGGATACATTTATGCATTAGTCTTTAATTTTGCCGTATTTATTTGCTCCACTGTCTTTCCCCCTGTGATGAAATCCAAACAAATGGTGACCCTATAAACATAGCAAAGTTTGGTCTTTGCATCTGTTAAAAACATCTTTGCTATAGGCTAATTTGCTGTTCACCGTCTGTATGTATGGATGTTAACGTCCATTTCGATGTATCTGAGGAAGTGTGCATGCGCACGAAAGTTCATATCTTGGATAAAACTTTTGTTAGTCTTAAAGGTGCCTTACTGGACTCAGACTTTGTTCTGCTGCTTCAGCAGAACTTGGCTGACTACCTGGATCTATCACCAAGAGTCAGTTATTTGTTATGGCCAATAGATGTTTGCTCTACTTAGAAAGATTGGGAAAGATTGAAGATCAAAGAAGACGGGGACGGGGATGGCAAAGGATGAGATGGTTAGACAGTGTCATCGAACATGAAGTTGAGCCAACTTCAGAGGACGGCGGAAGACAGGAGGGCCTGGCGTGATCTGGTCCATGGGGTCGCGAAGAGTCGGACTCGACTGTGCGACTGAACAACAACCACTACTACTTAGAGCTGAGGAGAAGACTGTTGGCACAAAGCTGAAAGATAAGGAGAGAAAACATTGTATCAGAAGTGGGGCTTGCTGATGCTCAAAAAAATTGTAAATAGATACTTTAAAGATGCCCATTTAGCACCCAGACTTTTAAATCTTGGAACAGGTATTCGGAATGAGATGCTTCAAATGTGGAATTCACTGTCAGAGGATGCTGTGGTGGCCACAGGAATAAATAGCTCGGATTTATTAGATAACGTGTGTAAGCCGCCCTGAGCCCGTTCACAGGGAGGGCGGGGTATAAATACAATGAAATAAATAATAATAATAGATTCATGGAGGATAAATCTATCAATGGCCTCTAGCCATGAGGAGAACACATCAGGGTAGTTTATGGCCTCTATGCCCTGTTGTTGGCCCTCCAGAGGAACTGGCTGGCCCCTGTGTGAGACGGGAGGCTGGACTGGAGGGACCCTCACTGGTCTGACCCAGCAGGGCTCTTCTGAGGTTCCTATCAGGGGAAGGCCTCGGCCTCTCTGCCCTGTTGTTGGCCCTCCAGAGGAACTGGCTGGCCCCTGTGTGAGACGGGAGGCTGGACTAGAGGGACCCTCACTGGACTGACCCAGCAGGGCTCTTCTGAGGTCCTTATCAGGGGAAGACCTCGGCCTCTCTGCCCTGTTGTTGGCCCTCCAGAGGAACTGGCTGGCCCCTGTGTGAGACGGGAGGCTGGACTGGAGGGACCCTCACTGGTCTGACCCAGCAGGGCTCTTCTGAGGTTCTTCTCAGGGGAAGGCCTCGGCCTCTCTGCCCTGTTGTTGGCCCTCCAGAGGAACTGGCTGGCCCCTGTGTGAGACGGGAGGCTGGACTAGAGGGACCGTCACTGGTCTGACCCAGCAGGGCTCTTCTGAGGTTCCTATCAGGGGAAGGCCTCGGCCTCTCTGCCCTGCTGTTGGCCCTCCAGAGGAACTGGCTGGCCCCTGTGTGAGACGGGAGGCTGGACTGGATGGACCCTCCCTGGTCTGACCCAGCAGGGCTCTTCTGGGGTTCTTATCAGGGGAAGGCCTCAGCCTCTCTGCCCTGTTGCTGGCCCTCCAGAGGAACTAGCTGGCCCCTGTGTGAGATGGGAGGCTGGACTGGAGGGACCCTCCCTGGTCTGACCCAGCAGGGCTCTTCTGAGGTTCTTAAAGCCACAACAGTTGAGTGTCTTTAGAACAGGTCTACGTGTGACAGGCAGTCTCCCTGACTCTTGTGTGCTTCCTGAAACAACTCTTGACGTGTTCAGAAGAAGATGGCAGGAACACTTTCAAAAACCTTACAGGAACTTCCTTATGAAAACCAGGCATTTCAGATCCCTTTCAAGTTGTCTAAGGCAAATTTAAAATTATTGGTTGACTTTCTCTACTGCTTCAGTGGTAGCCGTGTTCCCCTGCAGCAGAAGAGCCGGATTTGAGTCCAGTAGCACCTTAGACGCCAACGAGATCTCGTCAGTCTCTAAGGTGCTGCAGGACTCGAATCTGGCTCTCCTCTGCTGCTCTTGTCAGTGTTTTTCAAAATAACGGACGCTGCTCTTATGCCTCCTGTACCTCTGTCCGTCATGCGTGGTAGGGATGGGGTGGGCTTGCTGCATCAGGGCATCTCTCCGGAAGTATATAATGAGAACCGTTCTTAAAAGAGCAGAAAGCTTTTGTTCTCCTCCTGAGCTTGCAGGAAGGCTGTCCAGCTGCTCGGGAAATCCTTTTCGGCTTCAGCTTTTTGAGCCCGCAGGGCCTGACTGGGCCTCCCTGTGGCAGCGCACTTGAGGCTCAGGGCGTCAGCGGTCATTGTTCGACTTGCGCGCTCTGTAATGCACCAAGCGTTGATATGGAAGGAGAGAAGAGAGTGGGTTTAGGGCCTTTTTAAAAAAACAAAACGTCAAGGTTTCTTGGTGCTCCTGAGAATATGACATGGAGGCCCAGGTAGCAGCCACTGCCAGGTCGGCCTTTTATCACCTTCGGCTGATTAGGCAGTTGGTTCCCTTCCTCAACCTCGCCGACCTAGCAACAGTGATCCATGCAATGGTCACCTCGAGATTAGACTACTGCAACGCTGCCCTTGTCACAGATTTGGAGGCGGCAGCTGGGGCCACAGCCAGGCTTTTGACGGGTCTCTCCAGCTGGGAGCACATCCAGCCTGTGCTGAGGGCGCTGCACTGGCTGCCGATAGCATACCGAATTCGCTTCTAGATGCTGGTTCTTACCTTTAAAGCCCTATATGGTCAGGGTCCCACATACCTGCGGGACCTCCTTTCCCCATATATGCCCCAGAGAGCACTACGGTCGGGGTCTCAAAACCGACTGACCCTCCCAGACACCAAAGGTGCCAGGCTCGCTACCGCCAGGGCTTTCTCAGTGGTGGCCCCGTCCTGGTGGAATGAGCTCCTGGAGGAAATCAGGGCCCTGCGGGGTCTTTTATGGCCTGGGCCCGACATACCTGAGGGACCGCATTTCCCCACATATTCCTCAAAGAGCACTTCGGTCGGGGTCACACCACCAGCTGGTGACCCTGGGCCCTAAGGAGGCCAGGCTTGTTGCAACAAGGGCCAGGTCCTTTTCAGTGGCGGCTCCTATTTGGTGGAGCGAGCTCCCGGAGGAGATCAGGGCCCTGCGGGACATTTTGCAGTTCCGCAGGGCCTGTAAGACGAAGCTCTTCCGCCAGGCATATGAGTAGGAGCCGCCACTGCCATTATGATCACCGTTCCCCAGAGAGTGTTACCACCGGAAGACCGTGTGACATCTAAGCGGGGCCCGAGTCTTCCCCTCTGCTATGCAAAATGTGGAGTTTTTTCTTTCCTCTCTCTCTTGCACCCGGATGGAAGTGAATTCTTAAATTGTTTTTATGTATTTTATATATTGTAACTTATATGCACTTTGTGCTCGTGTAAGCCGCCCTGAGCCCGCTTGCGGGAAGGGTGGGGTATAAATGTAATGAAAATAAATAAATAAATTTTATTTATTTATTTATTTATTTTTGGGATTTATATCCCGCCCTACCCATACGGCCCAGGGCGGCAAACAGTTCTGCAGGGCCTGCAAGACGAAGCTCTTCCGCCAGGCTTTCAGTTAGGGAGCCGCCCCCACTGGCCCTTGGTTTTGACACCTAGCCTGTGCCGCAGGAAGATCATGAGCAGAACGACTCCTAGACCTTTGAAATTCTACCGTGAGAGTCAGCCATCTTGAACAACGAAATAACCATCGCCACACTTCATTAATTTGCATTAGCTCTAATGGAATTGCACTAGCTATAATGGAATTGTTTTAAGATGATTTTGGCTGTTTTAATTGTATTTATGCGTTGATTGTGAGCCACCCTGAGCCTGCATTTGCGGGGAGGGCAGGGTATAAAGGAGATGAATACAAATAAATAAATAAACAGGACACGTGACGGACTTGCGTTGTTCTCGATTCCAGATTATGAAGGCCTCCTTGCTTGTAGAGGAGGAGGATTTGGACCTGATCCTGGATCGTGGTTTTGGCAGGCAGCTGACCCCCGCGGACACCCCCCGGGCGATCTGTTCTCCTAGAGTCCCAATCTCCTCTGCGTCGCGAGGACAGAAAAGCCGTCCCTCAGGTATGAGTCTGCCTGCGCCCTCGCCGAGGAGTTCTCCGAATGGCAGTTGTGGCTTGGAGGTGGATTGTTGACTCATTTAAGGACCGGATGTTTGGCAGTTGACTTCTTGCCAGTCAGACTGTCCTGTTGCAGCAAGTCCTTCCTTAAATCTGAACCCAGCTGCAACTATTCAAGAGCTTGTTTACGGCAGTCCTGAGAGAGACCAAAAGCTCGGAGCATTGAAGCTTTTCATGCTTAAGAGAAGCGTAGGCCATTTGCTTCTGGAGATGCTGTTGACCGCTTGACACACCTGTCTATCTCTTGATGACATCAGCATAAAGGGAGGGAGGCGTCACACACCTTCAGGCCCCCGGCTTTGCTGTGGTGGTTGCCCCCGTGTTCATGTTGACGGACATGCTTGTGTGAACCATTCCTGTCACTGGCTCTGACTAGAGATGTAAAATTTCCGAAAATTTTGAAGCTCGGAAAAAAACCCGTTTTCCCCCCAGTTTTTTTCGGGGGGGAAACGGAAATTTTCAGAAAAATTGAAAAAAATGCTACATTAGCATTTCTTTTGTCTTTTCTAGATTGAAAGTCATTCTGTTACTTTAGGAACATAAAATATGACTATGGACATTTTTACTCAGCATGAAATTATCACAACTAGCATATTAAAAATAGAGTGTATCCAAACAATTATTACAAACAGAATACCCACCCCACATGCAAAAACAAAACTGAAACCTTTTTCTTCTGACAATAGCACCTCCTAAAGGAAGAAATGCATCTTGTTCTTGCATTGGAGAGTTCAGTTTGTAACCTAGGACTTGCTTGTCCTCAGTGCACAGAAATTAGATTAATCTGATGCCATACATATTTTTTAGAAATGATTTGGAAAATATTTGAACACCTTGTCTTAAAATATTTTATTCCTCATGTTAAAATAAAATGTTCCATAATCAATTTTCTTTTTTTCAATTTTTCCAATTTTTCGGGGGGAAAACAAAAAAGGCTTCAGGAAAAAAACGGGGGGAAACGTTCCCCCCCCCGAATTTTTCCGATTTTTTCCCCAGGCCTTCACATTTCTAGGCCTGGACTTCCTTGGTCGTCTTCCATCCGTGTACTAACCAGGGCTGACCTTGCTTAGCTTCTGAGATCTGGTGAGATCGGGCCAGCCTGGGCCATCCAGATCATGACAAAAGGCATACAGAGGCAGTTTTCCATTACCTGCCTCTGCGTAGCAACCTTGGACTTCCTTAGTGGTCTCCCATCCAAGTACTCACCAGGGCCAACCTGACTCAGCCGCTGAGATCTGCCAAAATTGGGCTAGCCCGGGCTGTCCTTGTCAGAGCGATTGCCAATACGGTTAGCAAATGAGTCCCTGCTTGTCTTGATCTACGGCAGCCCTAGGAGTGTCTTTTCCTCTGCGTCTCGAGTCTTTGAAGTTGCCTCTTTAAAGAGGGACCCTTTCCCCCTGTCTCTGCCTCTTTTAGCTGGCGGGCTGCTGCAGTCAAGACTCTTGAACGGATCCTTCCTCCATCCAGCCGCTTCCCTCCAAGACGGCCGCAGCCTGAGGACTACCTCGCTCGGCGGCGCCCCGTCTGTGCCACCGTGGCCCACGCTCTCTCCGCTCGCTCCCACCATCACAGTACCCAGTTCTGCGCCCGACGTGCCGTTGAAAGTAGTGGGCGTCCGCAGGCAGCCCGGCCTGGTGCCCCTGGAAAAATCGGTCGCCTACGGGAAAGGAAAGCTCCTGATGGATATGGCGCTCTTCATGGGGCGCTCCTTCCGCGTGGGCTGGGCACCCAACTGGACCCTGGTCCATAACGGGGAGCAGCTAAGCCACTCAAGCGATCAGGCAGACAGCCCCGACGAGTCCCTGGAGTATGGATTCCTGCCTGCACCCTTTGCTCCTAAGCAGTGAGTCTTGGGGCTGAGGGTCAATTGGTTATGGGGTCCAAAGGGGTTAAATGGGTTACGGGGTCTGAAGGGGGTTGGCTCGGTCTGGCGACAGAGAGCTCCTGCAGTAGAGGCAGCACGGAATCTGTGTGGGCGCCACGAGGTAGGGAGGAAAACCGCGTGCCCTCTTCCTGCCTGCCGCCTACCACCAAGTGTCCTGAGAGCCAGTGTGGTGTAGTGCCCTCACCTGGAGGACTGTCCAGTTCTGGGCACCACATTTTAGGAAGGAGGTTGACAAGCTCGAGCGTGTCCAGAAGAGGGCAACCAGGATGGTGAGAGGGTTGGAATCCAAGTCTTAGGAGGAAAGGCTGAAAGAGTTGGGTCTGTTTAGCCTGGGAAAGAGAAAGCTTAGAGGGGACATGACTGCAGTCTTCAAGTATTTGAAGGGCTGTCATGTAGAAGACGGAGTGGATCTATTCTCTCTTGCTCCGGATTGCAAGACTAGGTCTAATGGGTGGAAATTACAAGGGAGTCGTTACTGGCTAAATATCAGGTGGGACTTCCTAAATGGTAAGGGTGGTTGAGCAGTGGAACAGACTGCCTCGGGAGGTGGTGGATGCTCCTTCGCTGGACATTTTCAAGCGGAGGCTGGACGGCCATCTTTCGGGTATGTTGTAGGGCATTTGGCTATGTGCCTGCAAAGTGCAGGGGGTTAGACTAGATGACCTGCAAGGTCCCTTCCAACTCTAACATTCTGTGATTCTATGATTCTAGTGGCTAGAGTGGAAAACTAGGACCCTGGGCGACCTGGGTTCGGATCCCCACTTCTGCCGTGGAAGCTCACTGGGTAACTTTGGGCCGCTTGCAAACTCAGCCTGGCCTACTTCACAGGGTTGTTATTGTGAGAGAATGGAGGCGTGGGGAACGATGTTCTAAGACAGTTCAAGTCCCAGTGAGGGGAGCAAAGTAGGCTACAAATGAGATGCAAATGCATCATCCTGCTCCTTCATAAGCTGCCGCTGTGTATTTTGAGAACAAACCAAAGTACCTGTTTCCTCATTGGTAGCCGTCTCCCCTCTTTGAACACGGCTGTAGAGTGACAGAAGGCTTTGAGAGCGCATGAAGAGAGACACTTTTGGACACTTGTTCGGAAGGAATCCCTGCCAGCTGTAGGGAATAAGTACAGGCCGTGGCTGTGCACCTGTTGGGGGAGGGGCCATGGTTCAGTGGCAGGAGGTGATGTGGAAGACCTCTGCCCAAGACCCTGGAGAACTATGGGGAGGGGCTGTGGCTCAGTGGTAGAGTCTCTGCTTGGCATGCAGAAGGTCCCTAGTTCAATCCCCGGCATCTCCAGTTCAAAGGACCAGGCAGGAGGTGATGGGAAAGGCCTCTGCCTGAGACCCTAGAGAGCTATGGGGAGGGGCTGTGGATCCGTGGAAGAGCCTCTGCTTGGCATGCAGAAGGTCCCAGGTTCAATCTCCAGCAGCATCTCCAGTTAAAAAGAGCAGGTACTTGGTGATGATAAAGACCTCCACCTGAGACCCTGGAGAGCTGTAAAGAGGGGCTGTGGCTCAGTGGATGAGCCTCTTCTTGGCCTGCAGAAGGTCCCAGCTTTAGTCCCCGGCATCTCCACTTAAAAAGACCAAGCAGTAGGTGATGTGAAAGACCTCAGCCTAATACCCTGGGGAGCCGCTGCCAGTCTGAGTAGACATGATGGACCTATGGTCAGATTCACTGTAAGGAAACTTCGGCTGAGTGGGTGGGTGTTCACTGCATACATTGCCACCACTGTCCCCGGTCTATACATGAGGCTGGAGTTTTCCTAATTGCACACAGAGGCAGAAAGGGTTCCTGGATAGCTCCTCTTGATAACAGTTGTCACTGGACAGCTGTTCATCCCATCCCACCCCCATTCTGTGTTCTTGGTGTGTTAAACAGGTTCTCAGAGTCCCCCTTCAAAGTTCACATGGAGAAGTTGAGTTTGGAAGGAAAGACCGTGGATGGGGACCAGCAGTTGTACCTCGTTCCGCTGGAGATCAAGCTAAAGCACAGCACCGTTCACATGGATGAGCAGTGTCCTTTCCTGGCCCCCAACCCCGGAGTAACAGCTGTCCACGAATACGCCGCATGGGCCAGAGAGGCATCTGGAGACCCAGAGGAGAGTGAAGGTGAGCACTAAAGCAGCACATGGCGCAAACTGATTGGAAGAGATCTGAAAGGAGCATCCTGCCGGTTCCTGTCCCTGGAAGCACCGGGGCAAAAGTGGTCTGTCACAGGGTGGCTTGTTCCAGCAGGTTCCTTTCATTTCCTGGACCAGTGAGTGAGCCTGAGGTCCCAGGAAGCTTTAGTAGGTCTCTTTCAGCCGCAGCAGGCATCTCTTAAAGTTCAGGAGCCCCTGCCTCATAGGAGGCGCAAAAAGGCATTTCTGGCAAAGCTTGGCCCAGTCAGGTGGCATCTGGACAGAATGTGGCATAAGCTTTTTATGGAGATAGAGCAAGATGGGTAGCCTTGTTTGGTGTAGCCAGTTTGGTGTAGTGGTTAAGTGTGCGGACTCTAATCTGGGAGAACCAGGTTTGAATCCCCACTCCTTCACTTGCACCTGCTGGATGACCTTGGGCAAGCCATAGTTCTGTCACAGCTGTTCTCGAAAAAGAGCAGTTTCTGTCAGAGCTCTCTCAGCCCCACCCATCTCACAGGGTGTCTGTTGTGGGGAGGGAAAGGGAGAGGAGTTCTTCTTCTTCTTCTTTTTTGTCTGTAGCAGTAGAAAAGAGCAAGAGTACAGTATAGGGGTGTGCAAAAAAGAATTAATCATGTTTTCCCAAATTCGGGTCTATTAGACCCAAAAAACATCAGAATTCCAGAATACCAGTATTGGTTTGGTATTCGGGTAAATATTCGGGAAAGACGAATTTATTCGGCTGCATTATACCCTATGGGGATGGAGAATTTCACTCGTCAAGTCATGCTGAATTCAAAAGGCATTTAAAGTTTAAATGCGTTTAGTTCATTCGCCACTGGCATGACTCGGCAAGTGAACTGAAGGCATTTTGCAGTTCACCCAGTGCGACTCAAGAGAGTGAACAGAAGGCATTTAAACTTTAAATGCCTTCTAACTCTGCCTGAATAAAAGCTGAATAATATCGGCCTTTATTTGGCGTGGTCGTTTTGGTAGCCGAATTAGATTGTCAAATACCAATAGGGTATTTTTTTAAGTATTTATTCGGCTCAGTATATACCAGGCACACACCCCTAGTCCAGTAGCACCTTCAAGGCTAACAAAATTTGAGACAAGGTATGAGCACTGACTCACGAAGGTTTGTACCCTGCCACAGATTTTGTTTGTCTTTAGGATGCTACTGGACTTTGGTTCTTTTCTACTGCATCAGCTTTACGTTAGGCAGTAGCCTCTTTTGAAAAACCAGAGGTCCTCCAGTCCAGACCCATTAGAAGGTGGGATGATATGCTCACCGGCCTCCCCAGGGTCGGGCTGCAGCTGGCCACAGGGGGCCTTGTGGAAGACTCTGTTGATGCCATGCAATAGAGATCTCCAAAGGGAGGGATCCCCGCCTGCCCCGTGTTTTTGGAGAGTTGAGTGGAGCCTTTCCTGGCCCCCGGCCCCCAGAGGAACAGCCACCCACAAATAACGCCGGATGGGTTAGAGAGGCATCTGGAGACCTGGAGAGAAGGTGAGGTGGGGCTTTTGCCCAGCACAGCTTCTGATCGGCCCCTGGAGATTCGATCGGCTGCACAGATCTCCTTAAAATGTTGCATTGGCAGAAGTTGGCCACCGAAGCACAGGGACCATTCGTGGCTGGCTCCGCCTTCCGCTGCAGCCATTTTGTGGCTCTGCCCGCCGTGGTCAGAGTCCCACAGCACTCAGGCTCGACAACGTTCCTTAGAAGGATCCAGGTTTGTCGAGTTCAGTAGTAGCAGGTCATCCGTACGTACATCCTGCGCAAAAGCTTAACCCGCCAGGTGGGAGGGGAAAAGGTATACTACGTTCAAAGCAAGAGGTCTTCTGACGGTCAGGCCAGTCGGAGGTGCTCATGACGACAGGTTCCCAGGAAAGGAGAGAGCGCAAAGCATCGAGGACCGGAAACCAGCTAAGGGCCAGTGAGCGGAGAGAAAGCTAACATGCCCGGTCAGTAAGATGTTCACCCATCGGACCCCCTTCCCCCCTCCCTCACTATGGCAGCGTAGCTGACAACCGCCACGTGTCAGAAATCCAGAGGTGCCCACAGGCTCCGAAAGGTCGGGGACCCCTGCCCTAGAACTGGCGGGGGGGGGGGGGGGGGGGCCAAGGGGGGGGGGGGAAGCGTCCCTGTAACGATTCCTTGTTTTTGTGTGTGCGTCTCTCTTAAAAGTTTGGTTGGTTGCATGACGGTGGTAGATAGACTAGAGTGGTTGAGAGAGGCAAGTGTGGTGTGATTGGTAGTTGACAGAGAGGGGGAGGGGTTTTGGAAGTGAAAATGAGTGGATGAGTATGTATGTCAGTCAGGAGTGACAGTTACAGGTGGACAGTTGATAAGTTAAGTTAGTTCTGTTCTGTGTGTGGGGGAAGTCAGAAGCAGACCTGTGTGGAATAAGTTAGTTCTGTGTTGAAGCAGTTAAGAACAGCTGAGGTTGTTCTGAGAGAAAGGATAAGAGATCTGAGGGCTGAGTCTATGAAAACGTAAAGTTTAGGTGAAGAAATGTTTATAGTAAAGTCTGGGTGATATAACAGACTGGAAAGAGACAGCGAACCTATATGGCATGGAGATAAACAAGTGATACAAAGTCACATGAAAAGATCCCTGTCTGTAAGGGAGCAGATTGTGTGTGATACACCAAGCAATTGTTCAGTCCCTCCCTCCCGGGGGCTGAAGCGCCTTCCGCGGCAGAGCAGAGGCCTTCAGCTGATCCCGCGATGCTCTCTTCCCGGCAGTGGTCAAGCACTGGTACCTGGTGTGGACCTTGTGCGAGGCGCTCTGGGGGCGGCTGAAGGAGCTGGAGGCCCGCCCGGGGGAGCCCAGCGAGTACATCGTGGCCCTGGAGCGGCGGAAGGCCTTCTCCCAGTGGCTCTCGCAGACGGCTTCCGAACGGATCGAGGACGAGGTCTCTCTCAGCCAGCACCACAGCCCGGCCGAGGCCGTCTTCAGCTACCTGACCGGGAAGCGGATCAGCGAAGCCTGCGGGCTGGCACAGCAGTCGGGTAAGAGGATGCCTTCTCACCTTGTCCTGAGAAGCCGGGGGGGGGGGGCTGGGGGGAGAAACCAGTGCTCCTTCTAAGCTGCGGAGTCTCGTGAGCAAAAATCCTACTTTGTGAGCGACCGGGATTAAAACTGTGAGCGAGCGATTTGGCTGCCGTGTCAGTCAGTTTGCTCTTCTGGAGCCCCATCCTTCTTGAGCGAAGACAAAAATGTGTGAGCGGGAAGCTAAAAAACTGTGAGCTAGCTCACACTAACTCAGCTTAGAAGGAACACTGGTCACCAGCAATGCTCCCCCTAAGCTGTGGAGTTGTGTGAGCAAAAATCCTACTTTGTGAGCTACTGGCATTTTTTAACTATGTGTTTACTGTTTTAACCTTGGCACATGGTGCCCTTGTTAGCCGCCCTGAACCTTCAGGGTAGGGCGGGATATAAATTCAAATATAAAAAAAATAAATAAATATTAAAGCTGTGAGCAAGTGATTTGGCTCCCGCATCAATCGGTTTGCTCTGGAGCCATCCCTTCCTGGGCTGAGATAAACAAATGTGTGAGCTGGAGGCTAAAAACCTGTGAGCTAGCTCACACTAACTCAGCTTAGAAGGAACACTGGTCACCAGCAATGCTCCCCCTAAGCTGTAGAGTCTCATGAGCAAAAATTCTACTTTGTGAGCTACTGGCATTAAAGTTGTGAGCGAGCGGTTTGCCTGCTGCATCAATTAGGTTGCTCTGGAGCCATCCCTTCCTGAGCTGAGATAAATAATGTGTGCGCTGGAGGCTGAAAAACTGCGAGCTGGCTCGCACTGACTCAGCTCAGAGGGAACACTGGACGGGACACACTGATTCAGTAGCAGGGCATTTGCTTTGCACACAGAAGGTCCTGGGCTCAGTTGCTGACAGTCTCCAGTTGAAAGGACTGGGCAGTATCTAATGTGAAAGGTCTCTTCAAACTGAGCTGCTCGTGAGGTGCTGCCCATCCAAGTAGACAGTACTGACTGTCACGGACCTGGGGTCTGATTCAGTATTAGGCAGCTTCATGTGTTTGGGGAGGGGCCGTGGATCAGTGGCAGAGCATCTCGGCATGCAGAAGGTCCTGGGCTCAGTTCCCGGTACCTCTAGTGTTTTTTAAAAGGGCCGGTCAGTAGGTGATGTGCAAGACCCCTCTCTGCCTGAGCCCCCGGAGAGCCGCTGCCAGTCTGAGTAGACAAGATTGATTTTGATGGACTGGGGGTCTGATTCATTAGAAGTCAGCTCCATGTGTGCTCATGCTTGCGGAGGGGCTGTGGCTCAGTGGCAGAGCCTCTGCCTGGCATGCAGGAGGTCCCAGGTTCAATCCCCGGCATCTCCAGTCAAAAGGATCAGGCAGTAGGTGATGGGAAAGACCTCAGCCTGAGACCCTGGAGAGCTGTAAAGAGGGGGCTGTGGCTCAGTGGCAGAGCCTCTGCCTGGCATGCAGGAGGTCCCAGGTTCAATCCCCGGCATCTCCAGTCAAAAGGATCAGGCAGTAGGTGATGGGAAAGACCTCAGCCTGAGACCCTGGAGAGCTGTAAAGAGGGGGCTGTGGCTCAGTGGCAGAGCCTCTGCCTGGCATGCAGGAGGTCCCAGGTTCAATCCCCGGCATCTCCAGTCAAAAGGATCAGGCAGTAGGTGATGGGAAAGACCTCAGCCTGAGACCCTGGAGAGCTGTAAAGAGGGGGCTGTGGCTCAGTGGCAGAGCCTCTGCCTGGCATGCAGGAGGTCCCAGGTTCAATCCCCGGCATCTCCAGTCAAAAGGATCAGGCAGTAGGTGATGGGAAAGACCTCAGCCTGAGACCCTGGAGAGCTGTAAAGAGGGGGCTGTGGCTCAGTGGCAGAGCCTCTGCCTGGCATGCAGGAGGTCCCAGGTTCAATCCCCGGCATCTCCAGTCAAAAGGATCAGGCAGTAGGTGATGGGAAAGACCTCAGCCTGAGACCCTGGAGAGCTGTAAAGAGGGGGCTGTGGCTCAGTGGCAGAGCCTCTGCCTGGCATGCAGGAGGTCCCAGGTTCAATCCCCGGCATCTCCAGTTAAAAGGACCAGGCAGGAGGTGATGGGGAAGACTTCCTCTGCCTGAAACCCTGGAGAGCCGCTGCCAGTCTGAGTAGCCAATACCAGCCTAGAGGCGCTAGTGGTCTGATTCAGTGGACGGCTCCCTTTGCTTTTGGGTGACACGTGGACACACCCTGTGAACAGAACAATAGCCAGGGTCAGAACGGTTGTACAGAGTTTACCATATCTGATGATTGTGGGCTCCTTAATATATGCAGGCCTGATTGACAGCAAAAGTTTATAACTGTTATTTGGAGCAGGACAAATTTAGAGTCCAGTAAGGCACCTTTAAGACCAACAAAGGTTTATTCGAGGTATGAGCTTTTGTGTGCAGGCACACTTTTTCAAATACATTAGAATGGCAGGTAAGCTTCAAACTCATAGACGGGCTGAACGGCAAATTGACATGTAGCAATGATGAAGATGTGCAAAGACAAACTAAATAGCAAGCTAAGGTTATAAGGTCAACCGTTGTAAAGCAATAACTGAAAATAGCAGATAAATGTGTAAAGGTATCTTTTCTAATTGTGGGTAGTAAACGCTCTCAATTCTCTCCTCTCAAGCGTGGTCACTTAACAGCATTATTTGTTTTTTGAGATGGATGCAGCAAAATCCCAATATTGCTTGCATTACATTCAGTATTCTAAGGCCAAAGAAGACGGGGACGGCAAAGGATGAGATGGTTAAGACAGTGTCATAGATGCAACGAACATGAAATTGAGCAAACTTCAGAGGATGGCGGAAGACAGGAAGGCCTGGCGTGATCTGGTCCATGGGGTCGCAAAGAGTCGGACTCAACTGTGCGACTGAACAACAACAAATAGTCCTTCTTGTTGAGAATACATATATAGGGAGGACTGAATGAGTTAGCATATATAATGAGATAAGAAACCAATATCCCTGTTGAGTCCTGGGGAGGTTTTTGTTCCAAGTATTGTAATAACTTGTAATTTAGCAATTTCGCTTTCCATTCTGTTCTTGAAGTTCCTGGTTACCCATTGAATGACCTAGAAGGTTGAAGTGTTCTCCTACAGGTTTCTCAATCTTGTGATTCCCAATATCAGATTTGTGTCCATTTATCCTTTGGCATAGGGTTTGCCCTGTTTGCCCTATGGAGAGAACCAAAGGGCATTGTTGGCATTGAATGGCACATGCAGTGTTAGAAGATGAGCAAGTGAATGAGCCTCTAAGGGTGTACTTGATGTTGTGTTGTCTGGGTGTATGTTGCAATGATTGCGTTGTCTGGGGATATGTGGCAGCAAAGTTGGCATCTGGGTTTATTGCAAGCACTGGTCCCAGTGTCCATGTTCAAATTATTTTATTTATTATTCAACTTATACCCCGCCCTCCCCGCAACGCAGGGTCAGGGCGGCTTACATTCGTTAAAACATTGTTTGTTGTTGTTGTTCAGTCGCGCAGTCGAGTCCGCCTCGGTATTCTTCACATAACTGGCCCTCAAGGCCAGGAGTTGGTGGTGATAGTGGGGGCGGCTCCTAGTCGAGAGCCTGGCGGAAGAGCTCCGTCTTGCAGGCCCTGCGGAAATGTGCAAGGTCCGGGAGCTCATTCCAACAGTATGGAGTCGCCACTGAAAAGGCCCTGACCCACTGAATTAGATGTTGCATTATTGTGGGTGAGGAGCTGTTTGCGATCGGGGGGCCTGTCTGTAAGAAAAGGTTCGCCCCACAGTACTTGTGAAAGAGAATGGTCCTTATCCGGTAGAAGTTGTAAGTCCTTGACGATGCGCTGAACTGTTTTGAGCTGAGAGCTGCATGTGACCACTAGGGGTGTTCTACTATTGTCCCTTTGGGGCCTGTCTCGTAACAGGTTTTCCTCTGGGTATCATTCCGGCGCACGGGAA